CCAGGGAAAAGACAATGATGCTAACTGGTGTCTCTCTACATTCGCCACCATTATCCTCAACAGTGACCCATTGAGGGTGCAGGAGAAGCACCACTGGAGAGAATGCATGCACGTATAGGGTTCCATCCTTCAGGACACAGTAGGTACCCTAAGTCCATGAGCAGTACATAGTGCTGTCTCCTAAACAGGTAAAACACATGGGTCTTGCTGGGGGTTGTGGCTCAAGTGGTAGAACCCCTGCCTAGCAAGTGCAAGGCCCTGAGTTCATACCCCAGTATGGCTTCACCCACCAAAAGAAAATCACCATGGATTGATGCAGGAGTGACCCTGTTTACCATCACTCCCAATAACCCACTTGAGGGATTTAAACTACCTACTTCTGGAACTCTTGGTGGATGTGAGTGAGTACATCCTTAAGTCTTGCATCTTAGATACATCTCTGGCATCACCCTTACCCCATCCCTAGTGGGTATCATGGTGCACCCTCCAGATCTTCCCACTAGAGTTGTCCTGAAATCAGGCAAGGGGCACCCGAAGTCCTTCATCCAGGAGTCACTGATATGGCTGTGCAGGGAAGGTGGGTCTTTGAGCAAGGATGCTCTAGTCAGCCAAGCACAGGTCAGAGAGAGACTGAGCTAACACCTGACAGCCATTGAGAGCGCTCACAATGTTCAAAGCAAGCTCTCTCCCTCCTGGGGGCCTTTCTCCTTCCTCTTCTCACTGCATCGTATGCTCTTTTCCTAGATTTCCAAAGGACTCCCTCCCTGCCTTTGCTTGGGCCTGTGTTCATGCATCTGGTTCCCAGAGAGGTCTTCTCTGACTTCTGTATATGAACTTCTTCTCTATCCTCTCCTGTTACTCTATCCTCTCCTGTTACTCTATCCTCTCCTGTTACTCTATGCTCTCCTGTTACTCTGCTCTGTTTTCTTCATAACTCTGAGCAGCAACCTGATAGATTTGAGTTCTATAGCTGCTTATTTTGGACTTTCTCTACTAGAGCTTGTACTTAAGAATTCCAGGCTCTGATTTGATTGTAATCCAGAGTCCAGAATAGCTCCTGGTATGCTTAGGTACTTAATATTTATTTGTCGAATAGAGAAACAAAAATGTCTTGAATTCATACTAGCTCACAGAAGACAGAATGGGTAAGTAGAAGGAGCTTAGAGTTTTGGAGTTAGACTAATTTTTATTTTCCCTTTATTTTATTTTATTTTTTGCAGTTCTGGGGATTGAACCAGGACCTCGTGCCTGCTAGGCAAACACTTAACCACTGAGCTACATCCCCAGTCCTGAAGTTAGACTGAGTTTTAAAAAACAAGTTTATTTTGGTACGACTCACAGAAAATAAGTTACACACATTTAAGGTATAAACAATGTTTTTACCTATGTGTACATTTGTGAAACCACCAGCAGGATTCAGATAATGAACACATCCTCCATCCCTACATTTTCTCCTCATACTTTTGCAATCCTTTCTGGTTTTTTGTTTTTTTGTTTTGTTTTTTTTTTTTTTGGTGGGACTGGAATTTGAACTCAGGGCTTTCTGCTTGCAAAGCAGGTGCTCTACCACTTGAGCCATACCTCCAGTCTGGTTTGTTGTGGTCATTTCGGACATGGGGTCTTGTGAACTATTTTGTTGGGCTGGCCTCAAACTTCAATCCCCCTGATCAGCTTCCTAAAGAGTTAGGATCACAGGCGTGAGCCACCAGTGCCTTGCTGTTATCCCTTCTTCTCACCCTTTGCTGGCAACCTTGATTTACTTTCTACTTTTAAAAAGAAATGTACAGGGACTACCAATTGCTGGGTCCCCTTCTCCTTGAAGGAGTTCCCTGCTTTGGCTTACACTTTTCTACTTCCCCAATAAAAATCCTTTCACTTTTAGTTCCCCCAATAAACTTTGCTAAACTCTTAGGAAGAAAGAAGGAAGGAAGGAAGGGAGGGAGGGAGAGAGGGAGGGAGAGAAAGAAAGAGCTCTTCCTGTCTCCATCATGGCACAGGATCAAGGTGAAAAAAGAGAACCCCATGCAGGAACTTTGCATCTGCAAGCTCTGCTCAACATCTGTGTTGGGGAGAGTGGAGACAGACTGACCTGGGCAAGCCAAGGTGTTGGAGCAGCTCACAGGCCAGGTACACTGTCAGATCCTTTGGCATCAAGAGAAATGAAAAGATTGCTGTCCACTGCATGGTCCGTGGGGCCAAGGCAGAAGAAATCCTGGAGAAAGGTTTAAAGGTGCAGGAATATGAATTAAGGAAAAACAAATTCTCAGATACTGGAAACTTTGGTTTTGGGATCCAGGAACACATCGATCTGGGCATCAAATACAACCCAAGCATTGGTATCTATGGCCTGGACTTCTATGTGGTAACGGGTAGGTCAGGTTGCAGCGTGGCAGACAAGAAGCGCAGGACAGGCTGCACTGGGGCCAAACACAGGATCAGCAAAGAGGAGGCTATGTGCTGGTTCCAGCAGAAGTATGATGGGATCATCCTTCCTGGCAAATAAATTCGCATTTCTATCCAAAAGACCAATAAAATCTTTTCAGTGAAATGTACACAAAGAAAAGAAAAGGAAGGAAGGAAAAAAGAAAGAAGGAAGGAAGGAAAAGAGGGAGGGAGGGAGGGAGGGAGGGAAGGAAAAAATGAAGAAAGGAAAGAAAAAGAAAAGAATGTTGCAAGCTAGAAGCCCTGAGTTGACCCCCAGTTCCACTCCACCACCAAAAAGGAGAGAAAACAATACAACTGGCTTAATCCATTTATGTAAATTTCTTTCTTTCTTGTAACAGTTTTTTCTTTTTCCTCCCTCTTTTCTTTCCTTCCTTCTTTCCTTCCTTCCTTCCTTCCTTTCTCCCTCTCTTTCTTCTCTCTTCTCTTGGCCTGGCTTCTTTCATTCAATATAATTATTTTCAGATTCATTCATGCTATCTTCTATATAATACTTCATTCTTTTTTCTGAGAAGAATTTCATTAGTTTACCATTCACCTTGGATGATGAATATTTGGTTTTCCTAGAGTTCGAGGATTATTAAAAATATTACCATTGTGAATATTTATGCGTGTTTTTATATGGACATATGCTTTCCTTTCTTGGTAAACACCTAGGAGCAAAATGATTGGATCATATCATAGGTATGTGTTCAACTTTTTCAGAAACAGAAAAATTGCTTTCCAAAATGATCGTACTATTTTACATTCCCAGCTGCTCCACATCTGTGCCTACACTTGGTGTAGTCTTTCTAACTTTAGGACCAAACCCAGGGCCTTTGAATGCTAGGTAAGCACTCTGTCACTGAGAGCTACATCCCCAGCCCTTGGTTTTTTGAGATTAGGTTTTTTGAGGTACCCCATGCTGGCTTCTAACTCTCTATCCCCCTGCCTCTGCCTCAGGAGTGCTGGAATTATAGGACTTCACCACCAGGCCTGGTGCTATTCAGTTATTTTCTTATTATTGGGTTTTGAGAATACACACACACACACACACACACACACACACACACACACACACATGATACAATCCCTTTTTAAATAGATTTTCAATATTTTCCTCCAGTCTGTGACTTGTCTTTTCCTTAACAGCTCAGAACTTCTTGATTTTTATGAAATTCAATTTATTCATTATTAAAATGGTCCTGCCTTCCATGTTGTACCTAGGAAAACTTTGCCTAACTCAAGGTCACAAAGATTTTCTTCTAGATATTTTATAGTTTCTTTTTTTTGTTTGTTTTTTTGAGGTTTGGGATTTGAACGCAGGGCCTACATCTTGAGCCACTCCACCAAAACTTTTTTTGTGATGGCTTCTTTTTTTGAGATAGGGTCTGGGAAACTATTTGTCCAGGCTGGCTTCAAACCTCAATCCTCCTGATCTCCACCTCTTCAGTAGCTAGGATTACAAGCGTGAGCCACAGGCACATGACTTATAATTTCTGATGGTATATTTAGGTCTATGATGCGTTTTTGTTAATTTTTTTTTTTGAGCTTGTGTTAAAATCCTGGGCTCATGTGATCTTCCCACCTTCTGGGTAGCTAGGTCTACAGGTGTGTGCTACAACACCTGGCTTGAGTTATTTATTTATCTATTTATTTTTTGTGGAACTGGGGTTGGAACTCAGGGCTTTGTCCTTGCTAGGCAGGCTCTCTACCGCTTGAGTCACGCCTCTAGACCTACCCTGTCTTAATTATTGTTGCTTTATAATAAATCTTAACGTAAAGGAGGGTAAATTCAGTGCCTTGCACCCTATCTTGATTGGAAGCAGAGGTCAGACTGATGAATTTTAATCCCAAATCAACTACTGTAATACAGGTGCAATTTCAGACAAGTCAGTAATGTTTATTGTACTTGTTTATTTTAAGAATTAAATATTACAGAGCTTAGGTTAGATACTAATTATTATTAAGAGTCTAAACAAGTGAGGTATGAGAATTGCAGAATGTGAGAATTTAACAAGGCTCTCTTGATATATTTCTCAGTGTAAGCATGTGCGCCTGCCCTTTTCAGCTTACATCTAAAAACGTTGCAGCAAGTTGCTCCCAACTGATCACTTTGGATTGAAATAACAACAATAGAACAACATCAAATAAAGGTGAAAAAACAAACAAAAAAAGAAACTGGTCAAGATTTCTGAGTTGAAAATGATCATTCCACCATATCAATATTTTCTGTACAGTGTTGTTAAATTTTTATTTAGAAAAAATATATTTTAAAGAAGAAAAGGTGTGCATTCTACATATTATCTTGAAACCATGTTACAGGAGCTCTCTTGGCCCGACTGGCATGGCTTTCTTCGCCTCTTTTCTTCCTGTCTCTGTGATCCCTGTCCCTGCCAGTCTCCCAAGTGCCCCTAGTTACAGGTAAGCGCCACACTGAGAGTGGTGACTTCCGGAGCCTGCTCCCGGCATCACAGCCCCACAATCCCACAACCTTGATTTTCAGTGCTGCCCTCCTGGGGGCCAAAGAGGACCCTGACCCCTGTGTTTTGTGCTATGTGAGTGCTGTGCCCAACAGGATGGCTGGAGGACCAAAGAGACATTTGTCTTTGATTGGATTCAGTCTCATCTGTCTTAAAATGGTGAGTTCACCTTTCCAACTACCTACAACTATTTAGGGGAAAAAGAGACACATTCATATCTTCCTCTTTTTTTTTTTTTTTTTTGGAGGGGTTAGGAGGTGGGAGAGATGAAAATCAAAGTACTGTAGGACCATACCAAAATGGTATATGTTTGTGTGTATGAAATTTAATGGGACATGATAGAAAAGCAAAACAAGATTATCATTATATTTTAAGAACAAAGATTTCTGAAAAACCTGTCAGCAGCTTCTGACAGTTGAATAGGCAAATTCAAAGGGAAAAATGAGATAGTAATTCAATCTGCTTGCAAACTCTAACTTCTATTTGGAATGGCTTTGTGGTATGTTTGAGTGCTGGAAATGAGTTATACAGAAAAATACCTGTGTGGATTGAAAATTGCTCACTCTATGAACAAAAATGTGATCCATTTAATATTACCGCTCTGCTCAAGGGGATCAGATTTATGTTTTGCATTTCCCCAAATGGTGTTTTTCCTTATGGTTCTAACTTTCTAATTTTTCCTTTTTTCAGGTTGTTTCAGCCAAAACAGGTAAAATTTTCAGACGTGCAAGTTTTCCACTCTCATATTTGATTTTAATTTATATTGTTGATTCATGGGCTACTCTCAAAAAACAAAGGGTATACCAGAGGAAAAAAATGGGACATTTTTCTGAGCACTCACACTGGGTGGTGACCCCACTATATCAGGTGCTGGGAAGACCAAAACTGTTAAGATAAATGGGCCACATTTTATTATTATTATTATTTTTTATTATTCATATGTGCATACAATGCTTGGGTCATTTCTCCCCCCTGCCCCCACCCCCTCCCTTACCACCCACCCCACCCCTCCCTCTCCCCCCCACCCCCTCAATACCCAGCAGAAACTATTTTGCCCTTATCTCTAATTTTGTTGTAGAGAGAGTATAAGCAATAATAGGAAGGAACAAGGGTTTTTGCCAGTTGAGATAAGGATAGCTATACAGGGAGCTGACTCACATTAATTTCCTGTGCGTGTGTGTTACCTTCTAGTTAATTCTTCTTGATCTAACCTTTTCTCTAGTTCCTGGTCAATGGGCCACATTTTTAAAAACAAGTCCTTACAAGACGTTCTTATCAAGTATCAGAATGGGTAAAGTTGTACAGACATACATTTTCTCTTACACAGCTGATCACAAGAGAAATATGGCAGTGATCGTCATTCTTACAATAGTCTAATTCATAGAACTTTTCTTATTTGTCTTCTGGGAAACTAGTGGAGAAAATTAGAGTGTTATATTTGATTAAATAGTCAAGATTCCTTACTTTAATAAAAAATAACTTTATACTTCTAAAATTGCATATTTAAGATATAGACAATAGTAACTCAAAGCTGAAAAGGGGCTTTCTTTTTCAAAGATTCTATCACCATTTTTCTTTCTTTTCTTTTTGAAGGTTTAGCAAAGCTTTATTTTAGTATAGCAGGATAAAGTAGGGAGAAATGGGGGGAAAGTGGAGAAACATTTCCTGTTCCCCATGTAGGGAACAGAAGTAGACTCCATTATTTTTCTTGATTTAATGACTGAGGGCAAAAATAATTTCTCTAGAAGGTTCTCCTGGCTCATATGTACAGGAATCTAAATTCTTGGAGCTCCAGCGGTGCAATCTGTTAGCACGGTACTTACACAGAAATCTGAATTCCTGGGATGGAAATGTATGTTTAATGGGACTTAGATTATATATAGGAACCATATAATGTCAACTACCTCAGAAATAAACTCTCACAGGGATTCAACATAACCAGAGCAATTTGCATTATTTTGTCTACACCACAGAAAAAGGAAGATAATTTTAAATTGATTTGGATATATGGATGAGTCATAAAAGTTCATAAAACCCATGCATATACGGTTGACTTTAAAAATAATTATTTCCTGCTTTATTCTTATTTACTTATCTTATCCTTGAAAGACCCTAAGGATTGTGTAGAAAGCTATAAGAGTGCTGGCAGAGTGGCTCAAGTGGTACAGTGCCTACCTAGTAAGCATGGGTCTATGAGGAGAGAGAGAGAGAGAGAAAGTATTTTCTGTGGTCTGTAGCATGGGTTATTTATCTGTGTCTGGCTTCTGGGGCCTCTGAGCTAGTTTAGATCTCTGAGTTGGTAGAATGCACAGATGCTGAAAATCAAAGTGTTTCATTTTTGACTAATGAGAGTGGTTGGATACACATCTAGGGAATAAAGTCTTATCTTTCATTAATCCATTAAGTGTTCTAGACAGAGAGAAGTAAGGAGTAGGAATCATTGATACTTTATGGAGGCTGACTTATCACTCAAGTGTCTCAGCGCTCTCTCTTTTCTCCTCAACCCCTCCTCTCCTCTCCCCTCCCTTTCTCTCCTCCCTCTCCCTGTCTCTCTCATATGGAGGGGGTGGAGGAGGATGTGAAACTTTCATCATTTCCATCAGCCTTCCCCAGGGTTGTCGGAATGGCTCAAGTGGTAGAGTTCCTTCTTAGCAACTATGAGACCCTGAGATCAAGCCCAATACCACCAAAAAAAAAATCTCCGTTAGTCTTCCCCAGACTTTAATAATGATAAGAGTAATATCATCATTATTAAATGATATCATTTCACTGCATTGTTTAGCTGGGGACACAGCTCAGCAGTAAAGTGTTTGTTTAGCCTGTGTGAGGCCCTGGGTACGATCCCCAGCACCAAAAACCAAACCAAACCAAAACACTACTGGCCCATCACAGCTAGACTAGCCCCAGGTCCCTTATTCTAAAGAATAGCTGTCACCTGTGTTTTTTCAAAGCTGTAATAAAAATGACAAGTACTGATAAGGTCTGTCTGTTCCTCAGAACCCTCTTCTCTTTTTGCCCTTCCATCCTCACTCCCCTTGTCCAAACTCTTTCTCCATCTTCCTTCCATTGTCTGCTTTTTTTCTTCTGTTCCCTGAGGGTCTGCTGAGACCTGGCATAACACCTGCCTTATCTATCAATCTGTGTCTCCCACCTAACAAATATTCCCACCTCTCATTCTGCCACACCAGGCCTGGGCACTCAGACTTGCTCAGACTAGAGCAGCTGGTGACCTCCTTGCTCCTTTTTTTTTTTTTTTTGATGGGACTGGAGTTTGAACTCAGGGTTTTCCACTTGCCACGCAGGCATTCTACCACTTGAGCCATACCTCCAGCCTATTTTTCTCTGGTTGTTTTGGAGATGGGGTCTCAGGAACTATTTGCTGGTTTTAAACCACAACCTTCCTACTCTCAGTCTCTCAAGGAGCTAGAATTACAGGTATAAACAAACGGTGCCAGGCCTCACTTGCTCTTTATATCAAGCCACAGACAGACACACTTGAATTCTCCCACTCAGACCATCTGTCACCCCATAACTCCCCCACTACTCTACCAAGCCTTGTGACCCTGCTTCTCATCTTGCTCAGAGAAGTACTTGAGAAATGTTGATTTGTTTTCATAGCTGGTGTTGGTCAGAGCCAGCTGAGAGCCAACTGAAAGATAGGTCAGTGGTCTCTCTCCAGCCTTTACTGGCTCAGCATCCCCAGAATCTCACTGTCCCCTGTCACTGCATGTGTCATGGCAGTGCCATATGGTCTGGCTTATCCAAACCCATCCAAACTTTCTTGTTTTGGTGTTCACTCTCTCTTTCTGTCACTCACTCACACACACACACGCACACACACACAAACACACATGCACCTGCTTCCAAAGGACGCTTACATACACTATTTCATTTAATCTTATAATATCTCTAAATTATAGGTATTTTGCATTTCAAAGTAAATCCCATACTATAGATATTAATATTCCATAATATTCCACGTTTCTCAAAGAAAAGTGAGATCAGAAGAGGTTCAATATCTTGCACTAATTCCCACACACAAGTAAGGAGCAGAGCCAGGGCTCAAGCCTAGAGTTCCAGTGTTCAAATCCTGTGCTGTCTGTCCACCACTCAGCCCTGGGTTTCATTGTGCTAACACTGGGTCCTGTGTGACTCCTCTGTGGCATATGTGCCTCTCCTAGCTTCATTGAGAGGGGAAGTTTTGTGGAGTCCTCAGCCCCTGTGACAAGCCAGCGGGGAGATGTCTGTGACATGCTGGCCTTTAGATACACTCTGTGAATGCGCTGTCAGGCTTCCTGGGTTGATGGCTGGCTTGCTTGTCATTTTCCCAAGAAGCGAGTCAATTCCAATTCACAGAGATAGGATAAACTGAGACAGAGGAAACGGGTTGAGAGACACCAGAAAACAAGAAGAAAGGAAGCCTAGACCAGAGCCAAATGACTGGGGGAGAAGAGAGGTGTGGTAAGGGGACAGGATGAAAGAGGGAACCCCTATTCTAGCTTCCTAATATGCAGGGATCCGAGGGGACACAGCCCCTTCCTGCAGACTCAGCTTCCTCTGGCAGATGGCTGATAGGCCTGCATCTTCCTCTAGCATACATGACCACCATGATTTTCTTTCAGTGGCAACAGAGACAGTTGTGGGTGATGTTCCAGAAATATCTGGCCATTGCATAGTGGAGACTGTTCATTTTTGCAGTATGGTTATGTCTGACTCTCTGGGTTATTGGTGCAGAAAGAGAAGGTGACTGCATCATGCACACCAGGGAAAGCTGGGGGTCACTCATCTGTGCTTGCTCCTCTTCTTCCTTGCCCTTTACTTGGCCCTATAGTTCTGTGCATTTGTTTTCTTTCTTTCTTTTCTTTTTCTGGTGGTAATGGGGTTTGCACTTGCTTTGCACTTGCTAGGCAGGGCATTTACCACTTGAGCCAAGCCCTCCAGTCTTGTTTTTTGTTTTTTTGAGACAGCCCAGGTTGACCTGGAACTCAATATATAGCCTAGATGACCTTTGCACTTGAAATCATCTCGTCTCCAAGTGCTGGATTACAGGCATGCACCACCAGACCTGGCTTGCCCTTTAGTTTCAAATCTGGCATATAGTGATTTTGCCCAGCAAATGGAGTACAATAAACATAAAAGGCCAGTTTCACATTTAAAACCCAACTATGCTCACTTGACCTTTTCTTCCACTTGGATCTCTGACATCTGGGACATTTATGTCTGTGGATGTTAGTGGTAAGTCTATAGCCATCCTATACCTTCCACTCCATTCACTAAGCATAGGAATGCCTTGTGTGTCATGAGGTAAGCATTCATATCCTCACGGCAGACCATAGCCAGGACCCAGGTGGGAACTGCAGAACTGCATTCTTAATACTGATGCAGATGTTTTGCTAGGGAAAGGAGAGAGAAAGTTTATTTTTATTTTCTGTAGAAGAACCCAAAAATTGTTCTGCTGTGATAATAAGAAAGGACTGTGGAGCAGTTAAACCAAAGGGCTAGGTTCTCTTTCCTCCCCCATTAAATGCCATTAGAAAATGTGCACGAGAGAGTAAATAAGCCACCTGGGGAGGTGGGATGGAGGGGTGTTCAGCTGGAAGCAGCACAGCCAGTTTGGGGGCAGGGAGGGGACATCAATGACAAAGCAGACTGGGGAATTCACAAAATGCCAAACTAGAATAAATAAACTGGAATAAAACCCCTCTGTTACTCTCTCCCTCCTCTCAGCACTCTTTCCTACAATCACTTCCAACTCTTACTTAACTCTTACAAGCGCAAAAAGTATAACTGTCCCCCAGGCAACTAGGGAAAACCTCTGAAATCCTGTGCCTGAGGGAGGGTTTGAGCTTCCAGCTGTCTTCTGGACAGCAGCTGTGCCTTTCTTTGTCTTTTCTTCTGGAGAGCAGCTGTGCCTTTCTTTGCCTTTTTTTGATCTGAAAATGGGGGCAAAGTTTATCTGTGAAGGAGGGCATCAGAATGGTGTAGTCTGAGGAGGAAGTGACAAAAGATGTAATCCTTGCAGGGTGTCTGAGGTAATGTACAACTGCAAAAATCTCTTTCAGCTCCTGAAATACCCACTATTGATCAGGCGTATTCAAAACTCAGCAATAGTATCACTGTGGAGTGGGTTACAGTGCCAGGGGCCACCGGTTACCTGCTCTCAGCCGAAGACGGGGAGACAGTCATTGAGACCATGGTGGCCAATTCCCCAGGCACCGTGACAGGCCTGAAGGCTGCAACCCTATACCAAATTACCATCAGATCCATCAGCGCTGCTGGGAGAAGCCAGGCATCACCTCCAACACAGGCAAAGACAGGTAGCCTTCCTCTGTTGAGAGTTTGCCTATGACCTGAATCAGTTCCAACGGTGCTGCAAATGCACAATGTAGTTTGGTGGCCTGTGAATGCTACGATTCAGAGCCTAGAAGTGAAAGCCACCGAATGACGTTTTGTGGCACCTCAGCTGTAAGTGGAGGAGGTGGGTGACATGTAAATGCCAGGTGCTTTGCTTGGAAAATTTAGGCCTGTTTCTGAGTATCTTTAAAAGCATTCCTGCTTTTAAATCTTTGAAAAGGGATTTCTTTTTTTGTTATGCCAAATACGGAACACATGGAAGGGATTTTGCTGTACAGTGAGAAAAATGGCCTAGAGGTCAACAAATAAAAATATTTGGAGGGCTGGAGGTATGGCTTAAGCAGTAGAGTGCTTACTTTGCACACATGAAGCCCTGAGTTCAAACCCATTCTCACCCCCCCCAAAAAAAAAAACTTGGAGTTACTCATCAGCATTACTTAAATTGATTGGATGAAGTTGTACCTGGTACATTGCTGAGAGTTATGTGCAGGCCTGGGTGTATAGCCCGGTGGTAGAGCATTTACTTGGCGTGTGTGAGGCCCTGGGTTCACACCCCAGCACTGCCAAAAACCAAAGAAGTTATGTGCACATTAAAGTAGTATAAACCATCATTTCATCTAACTGCTGACCAACTTCCAGTTAAAGTGATGTGCCCATTTCTTTGTCACATTTATGATTAATACACACTTAAATAGCTTTTTTTCTTTCTTTCTTTTTTTATTTTTTGTCATATTGGAGATTGAACCCAGGGCCTCCCGCATGTCTAGTAAGCACTCTACCACTGAGCTACGTTCCTAGGCAGCAAATAACAATCATTTACTGAACCCCTGCCATGAATCCTTTTATAAAGCAAGTAATTAAAAAAAATTTTTGGCAATACTGGGGTTTGAATTCAGGACTTTGCACTTGTTAGGCAGGTGCTCTATCTCTTGAGTCATGCCTCTACCCCCAACGAATAATTATTATATAATTCATTATTTTATAATATGGATAATGTACTACAATCTACACATTCCTCAATAATTTGGATAAGCCTCTATTGGACTTCTGTAACAAATGCATTAGACTTTTTTTTTTTTTTTTTTGCAGTACTGGGGCTTGAACTCAGGGCCTACACCTTGAGCCACTCCACCAGCCCTTTTTTGTGATGGGTTTTCTTTTGAGATAGGGTTTTTCAAGGCTTCGAACCTTGATCCTCCTTATCTCTGCCTCCTGAGTAGCTAAGATTCCAGGTATGACCATGATTTTGTTTTGTCTTTTTAGTGCTGGCTGCACCAATTCTAGAAGTACGCTCTCCGAGTCCAGACTCCATCCTTGTGCGATGGGAAGCTGTATACATGGCGGTTGGATTTTCTGTGTCCGTCATGCAAGCTAATGGCATGGGTAGAATCTGGAAAGAGAATACTACAAACACGTCCTTGACCTTCAGCTGTTTAGATGCTGGGACTCTCTACACGATAAAGGCCTATGCATGGAATGCCAACGGAATCCCTGGGGATGACTCCACCTGCAATCAGAGAACAAGTAAGGACTTTGGAGCTCAGCCTTCATTTCATCTTTGATTAATGGGAGGGTTGCATGCTGCAGCCATCAGGGGCAATGTGGAATGATAAGTGGAGAGAGCAGCTGGCAGGGGCTGTTTAAACTTATTATGAAGTTATTTATAGTGCTTTCCTTCTCAGCATTTTAAATGCTTGCAGTGTGGATAAAGACATTCTGCCAGGAATACGCAGAGCCCCCCTCCCCCCCATATCTAACTCACATGCAGATGCACCTTCCATGCCTCACAAGGAGATGATTCTTCAGTGTCACCAATCACTCCGTGTCCATTCCTGGTCGTGTTAGGTTTACCAGTCGTCCCCTTGTCTCTTCCTGGGCTCAAGCCATGAGTCTAAATAGAAAAAACTGGGCCAAACAGAAACTCATTTATTCCACAGACATTTAGTGAATGTGTGCCAACTTGGAGCCAGCATTGTTCCAGGACTCAGCAGCAAACGTGACCGAGTTCCTGCTGCCCTGGTGCTTTGTGCTTTGGTGGGAGTCAGTGTTTGAGACATATTTCCCCAAGGCTTCAGGCCAACATGGGGCCACTTGCAGGCTGACAAAGCTGGGCTGTGGGGTGTGTGTGTGTGTGTGTGTGTGTGTGTGTGTGTGTGTGCTCTTACCATTTCCACCTTGGGAACTCCCTGAATAGGGACTCTACAGCAGGATAACTGGAAGTCCAAATTGAGCTGCTAGAATGAGGGGGAACAGGGGAGGAGAGAGAGAAAAAGAGGGAGAGGCAGAGACAGAGAGAATGAGAATTTTTTCTTCTCCTTGTAAGTAGTCCACAGGCAACATGACCTACATAAATGCCAAGCTTTCACCAACTATGTTAACCAGAATAGAGATTTGACCCTTGAGGGTGTTGGGGGGTACAGGAAAGGGTGGGAAGAAACCAGAAATATTCTCTTCAACTTTCTCTAAGTTTGGAGAGGAATGAAAGTCTCATTGTCTATGGGACAAGGCCAAAATGCAGGAAGAAAAGGCTTGTCTTTTATGATACTTTGTATAGAGAGAAACCATAGTAAGTAGCTTCAAGGTGATTGTTGATGGACTAGGTGAGTCAGGTTATCTGTGACAAACCAGTCTCCCCAGCCTTTTCCTAGCCTCACCTTTTCTCCCCTCCTCTTCCTTCTCCTCCCTTCCCCTCCCTTTCCCTTTCCTTCCTTCTCTCTCTCCCCTCTGGGTGGAGATTAGCTGATGGAATACAAAATGAAATGAAAGCATGATCCCTACACTCAAGGAACTAATTGTGTCCAGGGATGTGCCAATCAGTCTTTACCTTGCTGTGTGACAGGAGCTCTGACAGAAGGCACTCAAGCAGTGTGGCACAGGAGGGAGCACCTGGCTGGAGGCCATCTGGTTTCTTGAACCTTTCCCCTTCATTTGCTTCCCCATGTTTTAAAAGTGTGAGAGAGTTGGGATTTATTCTCTGTACTAGATTTCTAGGGCAGCTGTGACAAAGTGCCACAGGGTAACTTAAACAATAGAAATTCATTGTTTCACAGCAGCAGAGGCTGATTATAAAATCCAGGTTGGTTTCCCCCTGAGGGCTGTGGAGAAGGCTCAGTTAAGGCCTTTCCCTTGGCCTGCAGGAGGCCATCTTCATGTTCACATGGCATTTTCCATGTTTATCAGTGTCCAAATTTCTTCTTTTTTATAAAGACTTGGGTGGTGTTGGATTAGAGTCCACCCTAATGATCTCATCTTAACTAATTACATCTGCCATGACCCTATCTCCAAATAAGGTCACATTCTCAGAGTCCTAAGGGTTAGGTCTTCAACATATAAATTTTGGAATGACCCAATTCAACTCATAGTAGCCTCCCAGTATTCTGCTTATTTTCCAAAGTTCTCCTAGGCCCCTTGTGGGAAAAGTTGGTTGTCTTAAAACACTGCAGGCTGTACCCCACCCCCACCAGCCTTCAACCCAGGACTACCCCAAAACAGACCCATTTCTGTAGAAAAGCTGACCACGCAGTAGAGGAAAAGGCCTGTCAAGATGGCCTCTAAGGGAAACATGCCAGGTGCCTGCCTTGCTGAGAATGAGTTGGGTCCCTTTGTCCTCAACACGGCCTCCTTCTCTGTGCACCCAGATTTGTTCCAAGGAATGCTGTCTGCTCACCAGCTATCCAAGCAGTTTTCTAAGGACTGCTAGAATTTGCACAAATTCCAAGGAGAACTGAAGTCAATTCTCTCCTCCTCAACTCAGGAGGACATCTCCTCAAGTTTTTAAGATTTGTTGTTGTTTGAGACAAGGTTTTACTATGTAGCCCAGGCTGGCCTGGAACTTGCCATCATCTTGCCTCAGCCTCTCAAGGGCTGAGATTACAGTTGTGCCCCACTATGCCTGCCTTTCCTCAAGTTTTTTAAATGGAATAACCCTAAAGAAAGTGGGGCATGTTTATAAGAACAAGAGAAAAGTGTTTTGGAGACACTAAAAGACTGCCTTCATGTGTGATCATTATACCTGGTACTTTCCTTTGATTTAGAGTAGAAAGTTTTCTCTTCTAGAAGCAATCATGACCTAAAATCTACTACAATAAAAGTCTTAGCAGGGGTCAAAATGAAGAAAGGATGCGTGTGTGTGTGTATTGCTGGTGATTGAGCCTAGGGCCTCATACATGCTAAGCTAGCACTTCACCACTGAACTACATTCCCCAACCCAAGAAGGATTTAGGTTCACCAATTAAAACAGAGAAAAGAATGTATACTAACTCAAAATATAATAAAACTATTAAAAAATAGACAAAAGGCTTGGCCTACATGTAATAACACTCATATGACTCTGTTCTTCATATTTATAATCAGATTTTATTCTTTATCCACTTGTTAAATATTGTATTCATGCATTGAGAATACATTTTTTTAATCACATATATGTGTTAAACTCTGATCTTATGTTCATTTTACAGATGAGGAAAAAAAATAAATAAAAAAGATGAAATAACACAGCCAGGGTTACATAGCTAATGACTAATTTGCATGGTCAACTGAGATGTTATCAGTGCCCAGGTCCCCTAACTCCTAGTTTTAAGCTTTTTTTTTCAATTTTACACTTTGAACAGTTAGACTTATCCAACTATTGGGGTCCTCAACATCACAAGCTAAATCTTGCTTGAGTTCTTGAGGTTACTGGAAAATATTGATTGTTTCTCAACAACCATAGGTCCTCGTGCCCCTGGCAACCTTCAAGTGTCTTTTGACAGCGGGGCTCTGAAGGCATCTGTTTCGTGGACCCTGACAGAAGGAGCTTTCAATTACACTGTGATGGCCTTGAGCAACTCCTCCCAGCAGAGTTGTAGCACAATGTTCAGCTCCTGTAGCATCAGTCCCCTGCAGTGTGGAACCGAGTACCTCATTTCTGTTTCAGCAAGTAATGACGCCGGATCCAGCAGGTCCCCTTCAGCAGTGACCCTGAAGACTGGTATGGAAAAAGAGTGAAACCCCTGTAGCATTGGCAAGTCAGAGTGACTGTCATGAGGGAACATTCCAGAATATTCTGGAAGCAGTGAAAACCAGAGCCTGGTCTAAATGAAGGCATCGAGTAGATATTCTGATGGGTTTGAATAGTGTTGATGAGGTGACCAGATATTATGCATTGCAAAAAGCTTCTTTGAGGCTAGGGAGATAGCTCAGTGCTTGAGTGTTTGCCTAGCATGCATGAGACCCTGGGTTCCATTCCCAGTACTGCAAAATAATTGAATAAATAAATAAAGCATCTTTGAATATTCAGTGGCCTGGCCCTATACCAGATATTTCATTAATTAATGTTTTTCCTCATTTTCTTTTTTTTTTCTTGAACTCAGGCCTATACCTTAAACTACTCCACCAGCCCTCTTGTGAAGGTTTTTATTTTTGAGATAGGGTCTCACTCGCAAACTATTTGCCCAGGCTGGCTTTGACTGATCCTCCTGATTTCTACCTCCTGAGTAGCTAGGATTACAGGTAGGAGCACCGGCACCTGGTTTTTTTCTTTTCTTTTTTTTTTGAGATAGGGTCTCACTATGCTACCATTCTGGTCTTGAACTCCTGGGCTCAAGTGATCCTCCTACCTCAGCCTCCCCAGTGACTGGGACTACAGAAACATGTCACCATGCGTGGCTTGTTTTTCTTTTTTCTTTTTCTTTCTTTCTTTTTTTGATGGAATGTTTAGCAAAGAGAGAAATGACACGGTCTGACTATGCTGCCCAGGCTGGCCTCAAACTCATTATTCTTCTGCTTCAGCCTCCTGAGTACTTGGATTATAGCCATGCACCACTATGCCTGGCTTCTTGTTTTTCAGTTTTGAGAATTCTAACGTCCCAGTTTGAGTATCCGTGCAGTACAGATAAGTGCTTCCTCCTGATACCATGTTTCATGACCAAGGTTTAGCGAGAGCTGTTTTTAAAGATAGAAGCAGGGTATTTCTAGGTCTGATTGTATTTAGACATTTTCCCATTGCCCTTCTTATCAGAGATGTAAAGACACACATATATGGCAGTTTACTCCTCTATTTAGAAGTGTTGGGTGGGAGGTGTGGCTCAAGCAGTAGCGTGCCTCCCTCGCAAGTGCAAAGCCCTGAGTTCAAACCCCAGGACCGCAATAAACAAAGTGCTGATGTGTTTAGGGAATTGAAACTAACCTTTAGTGGGAGCCTACCATATTTCAAGATCTATATTAAATTAAGGTTACTGCCAACAAACTTGGTTATTTGGTTGATCTTTTGGCAACTATAATTAAATGTACATGGTCCATTAGAAGTGGTTATGAGGATGGGATTGCTTAGTGTGGAGAGAAGAGATAAGAGACACTTTCAAAGGCACAGCAGATCTGAGTTAGTCATTTAATGCTGGAGAGAATCATCCAGAAATTTTCAATCTTCCATGCTCATCAAAAGCCTTTGGGGAGCTTTTATAAAATCACAATACCTAGGTCTTACCTAAGACAAATTATATCAGAATTTCTGGGAATAGTGTCTGCGTATGAACAGTTTTTAAAAGCTCCCCAGTTAACTGGGCACTGGTAGCTCACATGTAATCCTAGCCATTTGGGAGGCTGAGATCAGGAGGATCAAGTTTCGAGGCCAGCTCAGGTAAATGGTTTGTTAGAACCACTCCCCCATCTCCAAAATAACCAAAGCAAAATGGATTGCAGGTGATAGAGCACCTACTTTGCAAGCACTAACCCCTGAGTTCAAACCCTAGTCCCACAAAAAAGAAAAAAGAAGAAAATCAAACGTTACTGATACATAGTCTTGCATGTCATGCATCAAATTAGAATTGGTGCTTTGAGTTGTCTTGAAGTCTTGGATTATTGAAACAATGTATAGAAAATCTGCAATTGTCTTACAGCTACTTATTATTGATCATTACCTAGTTGCTTGTGCACCTGGAAGAGTGACAATCCAAGAGGATCCCCCTGGCAACCTGTCTGTGGCCTGGTCCAACGTAGATCTGGGTGATTACTACGTGGTTTTTGTGAAGAGTGATGATGGCTTGGAAGTCCACTGCAACACATCCCTCACTCAGTGCAATTTCTTATCTGAGTGTGGCTTCACTTACTTTATTAGTGTGTTTGCCTATAATAAGGCAGGGCAGAGCCCTTTAAGTGATGTATTTAATTATACCACAGGTAAGTCAGAGTTGATGCTTTGATTGAGTTCTGAGTTCATTAAGCTCAGCAGTAGAATGGATAACCTGTTGTACTTACTGACTTACTACCTGTGCCAAGAACAGAAAGTGAATAGCTTATCTCACATTCTTTCTAGACTAGGAAAATTTGGCTTAGGAATCCAGCTCAACAAGAATGCAAGATTTAGGAGTGAAAAGAGAGGAAAGAATGTAGTTACTGAACCCTGCTCTGAAAAATTGAGCCTTACACAAAGGTTCTCAGTGTTCAAGCCTGTGCTTGATACTGAACAGGATACTGCTCCTCCAGTTCAGGAGTTCACTCTTTCTTTGGGGCCAGGGAGACAGGTGCATAGCCAGGATGCCTCACGGAATGGTGGGCTTTGGAGTAGGACACCTGGGCTTAAGTCCCATTCATACAATGGGACTAACAACATTTACCTTGCTACTTTCTTAGTGTCATCCATGGCAAGATGGGACAAACAACGCGGGCACAAATGTGAAAAGGTCTTTGTACGTGACAAAGCAAATTGCAAATATTTTCATTAGAATCATTATTACCATCACTATTATCCTTCAGGACTGGAAGCATGGCTCAAGGGGTAGAGTGCCTATGTAACAAGTGCGAGGCCCTGAGTTCAAATCCCAGTTCTGCCAAAAAATAGAGAGAGAGAAAGAACCACTATTATCCTTCATTATCTTGGGTCTTATATTGGGCAGGGAGTATGTCTTAATTCTTTCTCATCTGTGCTGATCATAGTGTGATCAGCCTATGACCTATGAGAGATGCTTGATTGGTTTTTATTTTTTTGGGGGGGGTGGGTGGGACTGGGATTTGAACTCAGGGCTTTGCATTTGCAAAGCAGGTGCTCACTGCTTGAGTCACTCCTCCAGTCCAGAGAGACGCTCAGTTTTTGTTAGTGAATGCTTTTGAATTAATTATATCTATGAGGAAGAATAGTATAATTATTCTTGGCCTTGGGTCATGGCTTAAGTGGTAGAATGCCTGCCTAGCAAGCATGAGGCCCTGAGTTCAAATCCTGGGACCACCAAAAAAACCAAAAGAACAATATAATTATATAAAAGTACTAGAGCTGTATTACACTAAATCTTACCAGGGTGAGGAATCTAAATAATTTGTGCTTTTGGAATTTGGAACAAGTCTCAAGACCACAGGAAGGCCTACAGAGGGAGTGTCCTTGAATTTGAGATCAAGAGTGGGTGGAGTATAGTGGTCAAGAGTATCTTAGAGAAACCTCGAGCTGAGTTAGACGTTTGTCAGCAGGGTCCTTTCAGGTCTCTTCTAAGATCTGCTAGTACTGATTATATGCTTTATTTGGTTCAGTGTCTAGAAAGACTGACAGGATCTAAGGAGTTCAGCTCAGGGTGGTTTTGTCAGGCTGAGCGGTCAACAGTCTTCAAGGCGGGGAATGAAGAAGTCTGATGTGGCTGAACATTACAGCTTGTGATGATCTTGGATGTCATGCTGAGAATCTGTCCCCTGTGCAGTGGGAGCTGGGTCAAGCTGCAACTGATCAGACCTGTTGCAGGTTATTGCAGTAGAGAAGGCCTGGCTGAAGCTTTGGCCATGAGGTGGTCAGGACTTGATGTCCCCTTCTAGTAGCATCACTCCTGTACTGACCTCCCATCCTTCTGGCTCTTATTTTCAGCTCCCTGTTGTCCTAGTGACATCAACCCTGTGCTGGTGTCCAGTGACAGAGTAGAGATGGTCTGGTCTCCTGTCCGTGGTGCCGAACTCTACGAAACCAAGGCTGTAGGCGGGTACAACGTGGTGGAGTGCAGTGACACTGCTCCTGCCTGCACCCTTTCAGCTCTACAGTGTGACACCAAGTACAACATCACTGTGTATTCCTTCAGCGAGGTCCGCGGCAGCAATATGTCATGCTCGTCTCGCTTTGTCACCACAGGTATGGTGTGGCTATGCTGTCATTCACTGGTGTCTGAGTAATTCACTCCAACGATGCACCTCAAGACAGACATTCAGCAAGACCTACTGGTTGAATGTCATTCACCACTCTTTGTGGGGACCAACTGAGTCCCTGTTGTACTAAGGAGAGGCAGAGGAGAAGGTGGAGGAGGAAAGTGGGAAGAAATAAAATGAAAGAAGAGACCGTGGCAAGAGGGGAAGGTGTCACGTCAGCCGTTCAGTTCATTCTGCCTTTAGGGGACCTGCCTGTATGCACATCAGGCAGGGGGCAAATGTTTGTCTTAGTTGTCTTAGTTACTCTTGCTTTTGGAGTTCAAAATGCTCTTAAACGTTTTCCAGTTGATCCAACAGCAGGAAAGCCAATCCCTGTGTTAATGTCAACAGTTTCCCACACAAGGGCTCTATGAATTTGACCTACATGCATGGTATGGTTGAATACTATAATTATCTTATTTGAGGAAAGAATCCATTTTAGACCAAATGGTGTATGTAATGTTTTTGACTCAAGCTGTCTCAATTAATAATGTAAAAATCTCTTAGCTCCTTGCAGTCCTGAAATAAAAAATATTTCGAAGGATGCATTCTCCACAATTAATGTGCACTGGCGGGCCACTAACAATGATGCCACTTACACGGTGACTGCCCGGGGGGAGAAAGGGCTGTACCAGTGCAGCAGCACGGGAGAGGCCTGTGCCATGGGCGACCTCCCCTGTGGCTCAGTGTTCTCTGTCACCGCTGTGGCCGAAACACAGGCAGGAAAAAGCCTTCCCAGCTACAGTGTGCCCCTGGAAACAGGTATGTCAAAACCACCTGTCCAAAGGTTGACTTCCACAGGGTGCTTGGAAATTGTTTTAAGACATTAATTTGATTTATCTACCCTACGTGTGACAGAAATAAAGTAAACTCAGAGGCCTTTTAAAGAGCCCCAATCTCAGAAAAATAGAACTTTTAACATTTTAAAGGAGTGAGACATTGGCTCTGCTGAAACATTTATTAGAATTTATATTCAACCAGATTGGTAAAATGTCTCAAGTGGTAGAGGGCTTGGCTAGCAAGTGTGAGGCCCTGAGTTCAAACCCCAATACTGAGAAAAAAAAAAAGAGAATTTATATTCTCCCACGATCCTAGGTTACAGTCCATCAAAACAGCTAGCAAGTAACCAAATGAGCTGAGTTATTATTTATCCTTGGCTTAGTGCTTTCAAATCTTTTTCTAAAACTGCTTTCTGAGTTTCAGTTTCCTAATTGGTAACAAGGGAATAATATTTTTGTAGGGTGATTGCAACTACTAAGTAACCGAATGACACCAAGAACTGAGCATAGTGCTTGCTGGACAGTAAGAACTTTGTAAAGAGTCAGGTGCTAGTGGTTCATGCCTGTAATCCTAGCTACTTGGGAGGCTGAGATCGGGAGGATTGTGGTTCCAAGCCAAAAAAGTTTGAGAGACCCCTTCTCAACATAAAAAAAACAAAACAAAACTGGGTGTAGAGGCAGGAAGTATAAAATAGTATCATAGGCCAGATTGCCCGGGCAAAAAGTGAGATTCTTATCTTCAAAAATAACCTGAGCAGGAAATGGTAGAGCTCCTGCCTAGCATTTGTGAGGTCCTGAGTTCAAACTCCAGTACCTCAAAAAAGAGAGGGAGCTCAAGAGGGGCTGAGGGCCTGCCTGGCTCAAGTGGTAGAGTACCTGTCTGGCAAGTGCAAGGCCCTGAGTTCAAACCTCAGTTCCACCAAAACCCCCCAGGAAGTAAGGTTTTTTACATCAGTGATGTACTAGGAAGTGCATAAGAAAGGCAAAAAGCATTTATTGCAAATGTTGTGAAATGTTGTATATTGCTTTGAAATTTGCATCTGGAATTGATCAAGTTCAGAGGATTTTTTTCTCTTTTTGGCAAAACTGGGATTTGAACTCAGGGCTTTGTGCTTGCTAGGCAGGTGTTCCACCACTGGAGCCACTCCATCAGCCCTTTTTACTTTTGTAATTTGTTCACCTCCATGCCCTGGTTCATAGTGATCCTCCTATTTACACCTCCCACATAGCTGGGATGGCAGGCACTTGCCACCACACCCAGCATTTTTTGATAGAGATGGGGTCTCACAAACTTTTTTTTGCCCAGACTTACCTAGAACCTTGATCCTCCCAATCTCCACCTCCCAAGTAACTAAGATTTCAGGCATGAGCCACTGTGCCTATCAAAAGAAAAACTGGGAAAACCTCATATTGCCACACTCTGTTGTATTCCTGAAGCAAGTGTTCACTGTATACAGTTGATGTTAGTTAATGGTTCAAAGGGCAAGGACAGACAGATTCCTTTGATTAACAATAGAAAGTTCTGGAAATTCAGGAGATTGAGTGAAACACAAGCAAAGACCCATTCTTAGTTGTTTTCACAAATAATCTTCATGGAATAAAACTCCAATTCTTTTTCTTCTTCCCCATTTAAGTACCATGTTGCCCAACTGGTCTGACAGTAACTCAGGTCACCCAAACGGTAATCAATGTGAGCTGGACTTTTGGGACAGTAATCCAAACCTATGTGACAGTTCTGGAATCTCTTGTTGGACAGTCCAAGTGTCACACCCATCAAAACCACTGTCTCCTTGGATGCATCCCGTGTGGCATCGACTATACGGTGGCATTAAGAGCAGTTAGTGCTACTGGATTGACCACGGAGTGCGCCTACCAAAGTTATTCTTCCAGTAAGTGAATCCTAAATGCTAGCACTGGAGTGTCAGCAAGGACCCAACTATTCTGAGTTCAGACACTACCCTTTCTTCTCAAGTTCAGATGCCACCCTTCCCTCTCATTCAACACAATGCTGTAGTCCACCTGGCTTGCACTATAATTCAGATTCTTAAATGTTTACATTTTCTCCTTGACTTCGAACCTCAACTCTCAGAGGCCCCCGTAGTTGGTAAATTACCTCCCCCTGGCAACAAGGTTCAGACATGTTTTCTAAAGGGATGATGACTTTTTGTTTTGTTTTGGTGAGACTGGGGTTTGAACTCAGAGCTTCATGTTTGCAAAGCAGGTGCTCTACCACTTGAGCCACACCTCCAGTCCATTTTGCTCTGATTATTTTGGATATGGGGGGGGGCTCACGGATTATTTGACCGGGCTGGCCTTGAACTACGGTTCTCCGAATCTCAGCCTCCCAAGTGGCTAGGATTATAGGTGTGAGTCACTGGCACCTGGCTGATGACCTTTTTTTTTTTTTGCAGTACTGAGGTTTGAACTCAGGGCCTACACCTTGAGTTACTCCACTACCAGTCCCTCTCCCCATTTTTTCCTTTGGTGGTGGGTTTTCGCGAGATTAACTCTCATTAACTATTTCCCCAGGCTGGCTTCAAACCATGATCCTCCTGATCACTGCCTTCTGAGTAGCTAGAATTATAAGCGTGAGCCACCAGTCTCCAGCCCAGCTGATGACTTTATATGACACAATGATTTGAAGCATGGGGTAACTAATCTGGCAGCATTTCCAGAACGCATTAGATCATACATTCTATTTGGTTTGCATTGTTCTCTTTTTATACTCTGTCTCCCAAGCCTCTCCAGCTCCTTCTATGGTTTCTTATTTCAACAGGCTGAGACAGAAAAGGTTTCTGTTTGGTGATGATATTGTACCTTGCTCTTCAAACCACTAGGAAATAGCAAGGGGAAGTAAGAGTGGTTCAGTGTCAACAGTAAAATTGTTGCATGGTTCTAATCCACTGAAGTAGCCTCCTGGAGTACTGTTTTGAAAAAACTTCTTAGGATGTCTCCAAGCTTAAGGAGAGAAAGTACAGTGATCATTTAGTTTAATCTGCCTGGGCAGGGGATGGTGGGAGAGATGAAATGTAATTTTGGCATCCTAGAGAGAGTAGAGTCTTTTCTACTAAACATGGTTTCTTATAAACTGATTGCTTGATTTTTCATCATTTGTGTCTCCTCAGTGGTAAGAAAAAAATAAGGGTAATAATATCTGTAAGGAAATGTGGGCCCCAAAAGTGACCATGTGGAGAGGAGTGATCTGGCCAAGAGATTCTTTATTGCTGGGTGGGAGAGGGAGAGAGCAGAGAGAGCCAAGAGAGAGAGGGAGAGAGGGGCAGGGGCATAAATACCCCTCAATGAGACTCGGCATGATCTGATTGGTTAGGATCTTATGGTTCATGCTGGTTGGAGGTTGGGGCAGAAAGAGGATTCAAGCTAGACTTGAGGCAGGACTGTGACCTTGGGAGGCAGGACCGTGACCCTGGAAAACAGAAGCTTAAGGGTGCAGTAAGAACTGAAACCTATCGGCGCCATTATTGTCAACAATATCTTTCTAGCTTATCCCTCGAAGTTGTTTCGAGAATCAAAATATAATACAAACACATTTATAATGTGTGAGATGGTTTATATTTTGGGGACATTAATTTCCATTAGATTTGCTATCTGAGTTCCTGCCTTTGTGTCCATTTCAGGGAATATGGCCTACTGCTTATCTTCATGTGGTTTTAAAAAAAAGTGTTTTTGGAGTTGAGGATGTAGCTCAGTGGTGGAGGGCTTGCTTAGTATGTGCAAGGCCCTGAGTTTGATTCCCAGCACTGCAAAAATACAAAGAACATTTAAAAATGTTTATAAGAATAAATCTCAAGGCCTGTAATCACAGCACTCAGGAGGCTGAGGCAGGAGGATATGAGTTGGAGGCCTGGGCTACATAGCAAGACCCTGTCTTGAAAAAGAAAGGAAGGAAGGGAGGGAGGAGGGGAGGGAGGGAGGGAGGGAGGGAGAGAGAGAGAAAGAAAAAGAGAAAGAGAAAGAGAGAAAGAAAGAGTCAAACAAGCCTGATTATCTATAACAGTTTTTTAAGTTGTAAAACATCTCTATCTTGGTTATTGAGAACTCCACCATCTGGGGTCCTGATTGACACCTAAAGTATGGCCTGCTCAAGGTGTTTAGAAAAGCACCCAAAAGCTGGGCATTGGTGGCTCACACCTGTAATCCTAGCTACTGAGGAGGCAGAGATCAGGAGGATCCAAGTTCGAAGCCATTCTGGGCAAATAGCTTGTAAGACCCTATCTCAAAAATACCCAACACAAAACAAGACTGGCTGAGTGGCTCAAGTGGTAGAGTGCCTGAGGCCTTGAGTTCAAGCCCCAGTACTGCAAAAAAAAAAAGAAAGAAAAACCCTCAAAAATTACCTATCGGCTTGCACAGATGAGGTATATATAGACCAACCTTTTGTGTAAGTGGCCTGCTTCCAAAGTGTCATCCTACTGAGCTCAGATCTTTTTTTCAATTGAGCTGATTGCAACTAATTACATTTAAAATTAATCCCACTAAAACCAAATGAAATCAGAACATCATGAGGGATCTGTGCACTGGATTCAGAGTTTGAGTCATGTACAATACCGTGTATCTCTGCCAACTGTGGGCCTTTGTGACTCACCATGTTCTACATCAAAAATTCATGTCCCACGCCACCCTCACCTATGGATTTCTGATCATAATTCAGCATGGGGAGAACTTGCTCATCAAGTCTTGCTGTATTCTAACCAGTAATTAATAATAGGAGGGTGGGATTGGGGTTTGAACTCAGGGCTTTGCACTTGCAAAGCAGGAGCTCTACCACTTGAGCCACACCTCCAGTCTACTTTGCTCTGGTTATTTTGGAGCTGGGGGGGTCTCTAGAACTATTTGCTTGAGCTGGTTTCAAACCACGATCCTACTGTTCTCAGTCTCCTAAGTAGCTCTGATTGTAAGTATGAGCCACTGATGCCTGACTAAACATATCGTTTAAAAGAATTTCCTTTGTTTCTCTGCCCCCCTCCCCACCCCCTAGAGTAGTGCAGGCCATGTTTGCCCAATGATGGAATAGGTGATTTTGTGTTCATTTTTATACTGCAGATGCTTGCTGCCCTTTGGGGGTGAAATTGTATCGGCTGGGCCATAATGGTATCCGAATCCACTGGCAAGCTTCCAGGGCTCAGCCAATTACAGCACTGACCTCTATGGCTCCAAAGGCATTTTCACATGTGCCCCAAGTGCTGGCTTCAGTTTCTGTGATGTCACCGAGATACCTTGTGGGGATGTATATACCGTGGTGGTCTCACCAGTTGCTGAAACAGGATTGAAACTTACTTTCTGTCCCAAAAAAATATATTCAGGTAAAGCAAGTGATGGCCCTTTATTTAAAACTAACCCTTAACTCAGACCTTTGAATTAAGACTCAGAAAAATTGCACTTCTATGCTGTGTGACATTTCTATACTGCAGGCTTCTCTGAAATTGTGATGCTTCGCTCTTATTTAATTTGGGGGTCCTCTTCTCTTCCCTGTCCTTTTCTTTCTCTTTAGACAAATGACCAGATGTTTGTACTTAAACTGTGAAGAGAATTTTAAATGATTTGAGATTTAGGGATAGATGTTTGACATAGTCTTAAAGATAATGCTAGACACCTGGGATGTTGGGAATGAGGGAACTTTTATTTGTACATATGTGGAATTATGACTGAAGAAAAATTAGAGGATCTGAGACAAAGGAACTTATTAATCATAGATTAGGTTTGGCAATATGAGCGAGCAGACAGTCTGTGATCACAGAGCATGGCTGTCAATAGTGCCATCTCGCCAGAGCTCTGTGTCTCAGCGCTCTCTGCTGCCTTGCCCAAGGCACAGTCGTATAATTCTAAAAGAAAAGAAAGGAGAAAATGGGACCCTAGGACTTTGCAGGTGAACAAAGGAAGAAGAAGAAGAAATGACTCAGAAACCTTTACTGATAGACAGAATCCAAAATTTCTAGTTAAATGTAGGCGACAAGTTCAAGATGATGCGTGGTGATGGAGAGGAGCCAGCTCCTCCTGTATGGGTGTCCTTGGATGTCAAGCTCTGATTCTTTGATTTTCCATTATCGAGTGTAGGCAGACTGGTGCAAAAGCACAGCCCTAGGAAGAGAAGGGAATAGGCTCTTGGCGGGGGACGAGCTCTTAGGTAGAGGAGAGGAGACTACAGCTCAGTAACAGTACTTCGTCATATCTGCATAACATTTTATAACTTATCCAGGATTTTCACCTTGCATATTTCACTGAATACTCAAAATAACCAGCGGTTTACTATCTCCAATTTATGAGTGAGGAACCTGAATCTCACTGGCTACCAAATCTATCTACAGCCCTTCTCTTCTCCTTATCTCTAAATCCATAGTCACATATTTTTGTTTTGTTTTTTTTTTTTTTCCTTCCCCTGGGGCTTGAACTCAGAGCTTTGCGCTTGCTAGGCAGGTGCTCTGCACTTAAGCCATGCAGCCAGCACTTTTTGCCCTTGTTACTTTTAAGAGAAGGTCCCACTTTTTGTCCAAGCTTTCCTACCTTAACCTTCATGCTGTAGCCGGGATGACAGGTGAGTGCCACCACACCCAGCCTTTTCTGTTGAGAGCGGGGAGTCCCACGAACTTTTTTGGCCCAAGATGGCCTAGAACCATGATGCTCCTGATCTCAGCCTCCCAAATAGCTAAGGATTATAAGTGTGAGCCAGTGCTTGGCTTGTTTTTAAATTTTTTCTTTTTTGACTCTATCACCCATGCTGCCTCAAACTTCTGGGTTCAAATGGTACTCCTGCCTCAGCTGCCTGAGTAGCTGGGAATATAAGTATGTGCCACGGTACCAAGTGCCTAAATCCATATTCAAATCTGAAACCCTCAACCTGGAGGTACTTCAGGAATTTCAAAGTCCTCAGGGGCAAAAGGAACTCCTGATCCTCTGCCATTTCTGATCTTTCTCCATCTTCCTTATCTCAGGTACACTAGGTGAAAACCTTGGAATGAGTTTCTTTTCTCCCTTACCCTCCATATCTAACTCCTCCTGCCTCTGCCTCCCAAGTAGCTGGCATTTTCGGTGTGTGCCGTGGCATGACCCAGTTGTATTACTTTTATCCGTTGATATTTTCATAAGTTTCCCATTCCCCCATAGGATACAATCAGTCCTCTGAGCATGGCGTTCAAGATCTCTCACAGCATGCCCCCATCTGACTATCCTCACCTGCGTTGTCCAGTAGAAATTGAACGTGAACCATATATGAACATGAGAACTTCCTAGTGGCCACATGAAAAAGTAGAAGAAACAAGTGAAATTAATAATGCATTTTAGTTAATCCAATACATCTAATCAATCTGAAGATCTGTGCGTTTTATACTTGTACCTCAGTTCAGACTGAGCATATTTCAAGTGCACTGTAGCTATGTGTGGTAAGTGACTGTGTATAGGGCAGGAAAATTGGAAGCTCATTCCACAGCATTCCTCCTGAGAAGACTGTTGTATGTCTGTTTGGAGACAGGGTCTGGCAGCCCAGGATGATCTCGAACTCTGAAACTCAAATTCCCTATGTATCTCAGGCTGACCTGGAACTCGAGATCCTCCCACCTCAGCCCTGAGAGGTCTCTATCATCTGTCCTCATCACATGCCTGTCCCAGCCATGCCATACCATGCTACGCCATGTTTCTGAGGGAGTAAGCTCTTCTGTTTGCCTGAAATTCTACCCCACCTTCACCACAACTCCACCTGCCCTGCATCTGTTCAGTCTTCTCCAGTTCCCACTGGCCAAGTTAGGCCTCTCCAACATGCCTTAAAGACCCTCAGGTGCCATTAGCTTTACGTAGCATATCACTGGGAATTGAATGTGTGCTGTTTCCCCTGATTGCTCTGACTCTCAATCAGTACTCTGATGGTTTGTGAGTCACCAGAAGTCCTTGTTAGTTAGAACACTGATGCCAGGATTAGAGATGTGGCTCAAGCGGTAGAGTGCCTGCTTTGCAAATGTGGAACCCTGAGTTCATATCCCAGACCCACCAAAAAACCAAAACCAAAACAAAAACAAAAAAAACTGCTGATAGTGCACTGCGATGGTGGAGTGCATCTCCCACCTACAGCTCTTCACCTTAGCTAGATTCCAGTTAGGGAGCTCACCTCTGATCAGTCTCCCTGGTAAAAACCATGGCTTTGCCAGAAGCTTTTGATGTTTGTTGGTTGTAGTATCTGTGGTGGTTTTACTCCTACCATCTGGACAATATTGTAAATGATAAATAATTAGTACTTATTGAGTGCTATGTGCCAGGTACTATCCTGACAGCTTTACTTGTATTAACTCAACCCTTATAACAAACCTACAAGGTTGGCATTAGTATTCCTACCACTTTACAGATAAACTGAGGCACAGGAAAACGAATTTCCCAATGTCATACTGCTAACAGGTGTCACCTCCTCATATCACCCAAATATGTTTTTCTTCATCTTTGGTTCACTTTCCTTTTTCCTTATTTTGTTTTTGTGGTACTGGGGATTGGACCCAGGGTCTCGTGCATGTGAGACAAGCACTGTACCATGGAACCATATCCCCAGCCCCTTTTAACTGTTTTTTGAGATAGGGTTTCCCAGGCTGGCTTTGAACTTGCGGTCCTCCTCCCTCAGCCTCCCAAGAAGGTGGGATTCTTTATTCTTTATTAAGTGTGATGTCTGCACCATCTTAAATACATCAATAATTGTATTTTTCAGTGCTTTATTTTTATTTATTACAGTAACCTGCTCTGGAAGTACACTTGGAATGGGTAAGTCATTTTTGCATGAATAAAATGGAAGGAATTTTTGCTATTGCATTTTGGAGTTTCTTAACAAACTTAGAATCAAAGCTGACACTACGATTAGTCAGAAAGGCAAATGCTTTCTTTCTTTGATACGTGGGCATCCTACTTTCCCCTCCCATCACCCCTATTTCTTTCTTCCCCCCAGATTCCACCAACTGAGATGAATTTCTTTGGATTCTGAAGTCTTTTTAGTTTTCTAGAGTCCCACAGAAAAATGTGAAATTTTAGAGGGTCATTTGCTTAACCCCTCCTACTTCCCACTGAAATTCCTTGAAGAGCTTAAAATTAATCAATGCCTGGACTCTCTTCCACAAAATCTGATTTAACTGGTCTGGGTTAAAGGTTGAACACCACTTCTTTTTGTGCAGTTTTAGGGTTTGAACTCAGGGTGTACACCTTGAGCCACTCCACACACCCCTCACCCCAGTTTGTTTGTTTTTTTTTTTTTGGTAATGGGGTTTTTCGAGATAGGGTCTCTCGAACTATTTGCCCAGACTGGCTTCAATCCATGATCCTCCTGATCTCTGCCTCCTGAAGTAGGAAGCATTACAGGCAAGAGCCACCGGCATGCAGCACATCACAATTTTTTAAAGCTCTTCAGGTCATTCTAAAGTGTAGCCCAGACTGACAACTGCTGCTTTCGAGTGGAACTTCTGCAGCTTTCTTGTGTTTGCAAATCACTGGTGCCTTGTTGAAGCCAGATTCTGATTGGTAGTATGCCAGGGTCTAAGACTTCAGACTTCTAACAAGGTCCACGTGATGCTGGTGCTGCCCACACTACTGGACTGACCTCACTTTTAGTCTCCTGCAGAGAGCTAGGATGTTTGCTTCTGGTTTGCAAGGGTGGATATACCCAGTGGAGGAAAAGGGGCACTGAAGGAAGTGGAGGAAAGAGAGCCGTCAGGGCTTCCTCAGTTTTGCCTAAGGCTGATGCTCTTTGCCCCATGGAATTTACTCTTGGGCAGGGCAGTGGAGATGACCACATGGAGCGTGGGTGCTGACCCAGCTAGTTAAGTAGCTTTGTGAGGAACCCTTACCACACTCCCCTGGGGGAGAGGGTGCATAGGAACGCCCCAGGGAATATGATTGGTCCCAAACCACAGACTCCCACCTCCCAGTCAAACATGGCTGACTTCAGAAAGCATGAGCAGAAATGAAGACTTCCTGCCGGCAAACCTCAAGGAAGAGCTTCTAGTCCTGGTCAGATCCCCACCTAACACCTCCTTCCATGGCTGGGCCTGAGTTTGGAGTCTGTCCCCACTGCCTGTTCTCTGCCTGGGCTCCTTTCCTTTCTGAGCACAGCAAGACACATATTTTCCAATTCCTGCCCCACCTGCAGGTCTAAAATAAGCTCACTCCCTATTAATTTTTCAAGAGGTTTTTTCTCACGACTACAGGAAAATGGCTGAGTGGAAACAAACTGAAGACATTTATAGTTATAAAAAATGACTTTAGGGGCTGTAGCCTGTAGCTTAGTGGCAGAGCATGTGCAGGGCCCTGGGTTCGATTCCCAGAACCACTGGCAAAAAAAAAATCTTAGGAGACTGTGATTCACACAGTGTGAGAAGCACTGCCTTAGGTCACTACTCTTCCCTTTTCTGTCCCTCTGGGCTGCAGCTTATCCTGGCTCCTGCCTTTCTTAGCAAGGCTCAGCCTTCGGGCTGAACCCAGCCCCTCTCTTGAAGTAGATACTTGAATAAATCTACAAGACCCTCAGAAACCTAGAGTAAGCCAAATTATCTAAGAACTCTATAGGAATACATAAATCATGACATGGAGGAAGAAGTTCTAAATTGCTGTCTGCAGTTTCAGCTTTCTCCTTCCATCCATAGGACAAGGCAAATCAGGAACCTGGCTGACAAGGAGCCTCTGGATATGCTCAGGGGAGCCTTGGAAATCTTGTTGGTTTAAGACTTTTGGGAGGTGGCTGAGGCCTGGCTCAAGTGGCAGAGAGCTTCCTAGCAAGTGTGAGGTCCTAAGATCAAGCCCCAATACTGCCAAGAAAAAAAAAAAAAGGCCCTTCTGTCTTCCTTGATTCTTGGATTATCCTAAAGCTTGTCATCTACATAAATTGATTTTCTAAGAGACAGCTCTGGATTCAAATCCTATCACTGTCTGTTAGTCAAATTGCCTCAACTCTCTAAACTGTGCCTGTTTCAGGCTGAAAATTGAGAGGAATAATAATCACTTCATAAAACATATTGAGGATTAAATGAAGTGTAAGTTACTAGACACAATGATAGGCTAAAACTAAGGAGTTCATAATAGTTATTAATTCAAGATCAATTAAATCATATCATACTCTTTATCAGATTACCCATTATTAAGATTTATTTCTTCCTTTTTTTTTTTTTTGGTATTGGGGTTTGAACCAGTACCTACACCTTGAGTCACTCTACCAGACCTTTTTTTGTGATTTTTTTTTCTCAAGATAGGGTCTCACAAACTATTTGCCTGGGCTGGCTTTGAACCACGATCCTCCTGATCTCTGCCTCCTCTTTTTCTTTCTTTTTTTTTTTTGAGTCAGTCTCGCTGTGTAGACCAGATTGGCTTTAAACTCACAATCCTCCTTCCTCAAACTCATAGTCCTGAGTGCCAGGATTATGGGAGTTTAATGTGCTACTTCTAACTAAGGTATTCAAAATTTAACCTTAATTCCTTTTTTCAAGTGTGGTCCTGAGGCCAACAGCATAACTAGCTCCAGGACCCTTTTACAAATGCAGTTTCTGGGGTTCCACCAAAGACCTACTGATTCCAAAATTCTGGGGCTGGGCCCAGCCATCTCTGTTTCAACAAGCCCTCTAAGTGGTTCTGATACATCCTAAAGTTTGAAAGCCATGGTTCTAATTCAGGAAAGCTATTTCAATAGGCAGGCACTCTACTGCATGAGCCACACCTCCTCCAGCTCCCAGGGAAGCTATTTTGATGCTGGAAATTTGCTGCAGGTTGGAAGGGAGAGGAAAAATAATCTATTTGAAGTGGCAGGTGCAGGGGTTTGTGACAGACATGACTGTCTTTGCCTTTGCCCTCCTGCCTTCTTCAATGTCACTTACACATCCCGAGAACTTTTAGGAAGTTCTCTCTCTACAGCTTTCTTAGCAGTTGTACACAATTGCCTGAAGGAACAAGATGCTGTAGCAATCTGAGGAACACAGCCAGTTGACCTGGAAGTGGAAAGGAAAATTTATTTGTCCTGGCTTTTTTTTTTTTTTTTTTTGCAGTACTGGGGATTGAACTCAGGCCCATGTGCTTAGGCAGATGCTGTATTACTTGAGCCATGTCCCCCAGTCCTTTTGCTTTTAACTTGCTTTTTACATATAAGGTCTCAAACTTCGGCCCAGGCCAGCTTCAGGTCACAATCTTCCTACCTCTGCCTCCCAAGTAGCTGGGATAACAGGTGTGTACCACTACACGCAGCTCAAACTCTGGGAGAATTCATTTCATGGATCAGTAGAATAGAGAACTGCTGGTCAGTTTGAACAGTTTGCCATTTGAACATTTCAGACTGTCTCAGTTTCTTCCTCACTTGCTGTTGATGTGCTGAAAAAATGACATTTCAACTCAAAACACTAGTGCCATCTCCATGACATTTGTACTTTTCCAGTGAAGAAAATGCCTGCATGTTTTATGCTTCTCCTTTCCTGCCCTGTGCAGTGATTTACAGAGGGAAGAGAAATGCAGAATGACATAGCGAGCCGTGGATAAAAACAGAGACTCTGACCAAGTAAGCAATGCAAATTGATTTTGTATGATTCCACAGCAAAATTTTGTCTTTGTTTTAAAAACCCTTCTCATTTCTTTTACAGAGCTGTCTAGGTGTTAGTGATTAATGTCAGAAAAGGTCTATTAGAATACAAAATACCTCTAGGATAGTTTGAAAAGCTCCTTTGGCTTTTAGAAGAGTAATTCTGACTCTGCTTCTGGAAGACAAGGTCAAGTGTATCAGCAGCTGCAGAGAGGAAGTTACAGAGACATGGATCCAGAAAAGTCCTTTGGAAGGCTGCCAGAGTGAGCCAGCACACTGTGAGAGCCTTGGAAGTACAGAAGCTTTGCTTTGCAGAAATGGTGAGATTTCGCATCCAGAGACACCAGAGACTTTTTTTGTTTAAGACCTTCCCTATGTAGCCCCAACTGGCCTTGACCTTGAGACCCTCCTGTCTCAGCAGTCTAAGTGCTGGGAATACAGGTGTGACCCACCATGCCCGGCACTACTCCGCAGACTTTAATACATCCACCTCAGGAGTGTTTTGTCAACACCAGCCCTTGCCGTGCAACCCTGTAGCAATTCAGGGGATGGAAGTGTTCACTACCAGACATGACAGGCCACCCACACGAGGACAGTGCTCATCTCTGTCAAACCTCCAGCAGGATGTTAGCTTAGGTTGGATAGCAGCAGCTGCCCAGGGCAACCTGTGGTCACAAATATGTCACCTGAACACAGGTTAGGGGAGAAGCTGAGCTGCCTGCAGAGTTCCCTAAACCAAGCATCACGTGATTTGACATCTGGGAAAGTGGAGCTGAGGGACTGTTGCTAGAATTCCTGTCATGCTTTCTGAGTGAGCAAAGATGTCAAGTGGAGGGGCAGCCAAAGGCAGAGCCTCAAATTGCGACCAACTTCTGGACACAGAATCATCACCCTTGTTGTCTGTGTCCCCATCACATTGTAACTCCATTTTTCATCTTTGCAGATCAAAGGCAATGATATATAATATAAATCTGTTATCTTGAAAAATGTTTGTTCTTCTAATGCCGACAACCTAATTAAAAATGGTGTGAGTAGGATTTGTTTCACATACTCAGAATATGGTGTATTCCCCCAAAGCATGGCCATGGAGCCAAGAATGTATATGGTTGGGAACAACTATAAAAAATTACCCAGAAGGGACTGGAGCATGGAGTTGGGCTTGAGGCCAGTTTCCCTTTCCTTCCTGTGTCTCCTTTTCTTTTCAGAGGTAAACTATCAAAAGCCAAACGATAAAGTGATATGCTTTCTCTGTAAGACTGATCAGAAAACCAGGCGTGGTGGCACATGCCTTTAATCCCAGCACTCAGGAGGCTGAGGCAGGAGGATCGTGAGTTTAAGGCTAGCCTGGGCTACATAGTGAGACCCTGTCTTTAAAACAACAAACAAAAAAACTGACCAGAGAGATTCCCAGGCATCTTCCCTGAATTCATTAGGTCTGAACCTGTGAATGGGTATTTTTTTTTTAACAAGCTCACCAAGTGCTTCTGACATGTAGCTAAGTTTGGGAAACTTCTCTTTGGTGATGCTGGGTAACAGACACAGGGCCTTGTACATGCTAGGCAAGCCCTCTACCCCTGAGCTGCATCCCAGCCCCAAGTATGGCACCCTGCAAGGGCTTGCCTTGATAAATTCTTCCTTGAGGCAAAATTTCAATGATGGGAGGCTGAGAAAATAGGGGCCTGGGAAGAAAGAAGGTGAGATCTGGAGGGTCTATGCCTGGGGAGGGCAACCCTGATGGGCTGCATACTAGATGGTGTGGGACTATGTGCTGAACCCAGTCACCTGCAAGGTGTACTCTCTGAATGGAGTTGTATCCATGGTTGACTGGAACAGCCAAAGAGCCCAGGCAAAGGACAAATGCAAGGCCAGGATTTCTGGTTCTAAGGGGCTGGGACCAGCCTATCCATACCCTGCAAATATGAGGGCACAGAAACATGGGATGACCATCTGCTTAACTAGGTATCCAATGCTGAGCTGCTTTGCCAGAATTTTGTAGAAGACACTGTGGTCCACACTGGCTGAAGATAAAACTGGTTCACTTAATGTGTAAGTAGCACAGACTGTGATCTAAATGCCTTCTACATACTCATTTCACTTTCATAACACTCCTACAAAGCTAGGTGATAATGTCAACTCCTTTACAAAGATGAGGGAAAAGAGGCCCAGAAAGGTCAAGAAGCTTCCATATGTTCACACGACATAGCTAACCAGTGCAAGCACTGCAAGGAGCCAGAGATAGAAGGAAGGAAGGAAAGAAAAAAGGAAGAGAGGAAGGGCGGGAGGGAAGAAGGAAGGGACAGAGGGAGGGAATGGGGGAAGGGAGAAGGGAAGAAGGAAGGTAGGAAGGAAGGATTGGTTAGATCTGCTAATCAATATTTCCTTCATGGAAAATATTCTCTAGATTATCATGATTAACTCATCAATTACTAGTGAAGACCACCTGGAGATAGAATAGCGTGTGAGAAATCTGCCCCAACTCAAGTGCCTGTCCATTCAACCCTCTGTTATTTTGGGTTTATTTGCTCTGTGAATTATAAGAAGCAGTTTTTCATCTCCGCTGGTGTTCTGCTATGTCATGGGAATCCAGATGCACGTTTCAGTTTGTTTAGGAAAGGCAACTAGAGGAGACTCAGAGAAACCACGCTGGAGAATTATGTAGAACTGGGGGGTGGGAGGGGGGGCATGGGGGATGGGCAACATGTGCAATGACAGATCCAGGTAGATCCAGTCTTGAGCTCATCCTGAGATTTCACACGATGCATTTAGCCTCTCTGAGCCTCAGTTTTCTCTTCTGGAAAATGGCAATACGGACAGTTGTGAATGTATTCAACACACCAGTGCTATGCAACTGAAATACTTGAAGTCACCCTGCTAGCACGAAGCAGAGCCAGAATTTTCAAGCTGCAGACTGACGCCTGTGTAGCTGAATCCCATGCTGTGCCACTAGTCCACACTGCCATTGTAAATCTGGCCTTCAGGAGCGTCACAGCTGCACCCCCTGTGACAGAGGTCAAACTTCCAACCCCTGTACTGTCATAGTTTTTCATATGGATTGGGGCTCCACCCTACTATACTAAGCAGAGCCTGATTTAAAATTAAAAGGGAGCAGGGGAATAATGGTGCATTTTATTTAAAAATTTGAGCAACTGAGTCAAATTTAAAGAAAGCCAGGGCTGGCCAGGTGCCGTGGCTCACATCTGTAATCCCAGCTATTTGGGAGGCAAACATTGGGAGGATCATGGTTCCAGGTCAGTCCAGATAAAAAGTTTGTGAGAGAAAGGAAAAAAGAAAGATAGAACATCAACAACATCACAAAACATAACATCTGTGAAGGTAGAGGATTTAAGAATATGTGTTGAAAGCTGTTGAAAATGGGAGGTGGGAGGTAAAAGGGTAAGGGAGAGTAACAGAAGGCATTGAGTGGACCAAAGTAAAGTATACTCACACTGGGGATACATTAAGAAACTCCCTTGAACATCAACTTAAATATTAATAACAAAAGACAGGAGTGTAAAATAGGTACAGTGTGTGTGGGGGGAGTGGTATTTGTAGGAAGAGGGTGAATGAAGGAGATTAAGGGTATATGGTTGATAGACTTCTTATATTTATATGAAATAGAATAAAGAGACCTCTTGTAACTGCTTTAAGTGGGGTGGGGAGGGGTAAGGGGAGAGATAGTGGAGCTTGTGTAACCAATATACAATATAAGCTTATTTGGAATTGTCACTATGAATCTCCCCCTGTACAATGAATATAACCTAATTAAACAAAAATAAAATAAAAAAGACAAAAAAAAGTGAGACCACCAATTCAGTAACTGCAACCTGGTGGTGTGACTGTCGTCCCAGCTACATGGGAAGCCAGAAGGAGAAGGATCACAATTTGAGGACTACAGGGCAAAAACTCAAGAAATCTATCTGAAAACTAACTAAACCAAAAAAACAGCCAGGAGTGTGGCTCAAGTGGCAAAGCACCTGCCTAGCAAGCTCAAGATCCTGAGTTCAAATCCCAGTACCACCAAAAAAAAAAAAAAAAGGCCAGGGCTTCAGTTTTCATGTCCATATAATCCTCAAACATAAAAACCATTCATGATATAGATTATGCCTGAACTCATTTTATAGCTGCATTTATTTATTTTTGGCAACACTGGGGTTTGAATTCAGGGCCTCACACTACTGCTTGAGCTACTCTTCCAGTCCTTTTTTGTGATGGGGTTTTTTTCCAGATAGGGTCTCACAAGCTATTTGCCTGAGCTGGTTTTGAACCTCAATCCTCCTGATCTCTATCTCCTGAGTAGCTAGGATTACAGGCATGAGTCAGTGGTACCCAGCACTGTTTTGAGTCTTCATTCTTTTTTTCTCTCCTAAAAATTTGCAAGTTATTCCACTAACTACTCTCTTGCTTTCTGTGTAGGATAAGCCTGATCCTTGTTCCCTCTCCAGCACTAGCTGTGCGTCCTTGGCAATCAATTTAACTGCACTAAGCCTATTTGCTAATCTGTAAGGATTGCTTTGATGATCAATGGGATAATCCTTTTACTTAGTGCATTGTATATACTAAGGACCCAGTAACCATAGACAGTATCAGCAGTAGTAGCCAGTAACCATTTCCACTGTGTGATTAATGTGGATCTTTAAATCTTTTGGCTCTTTGCAAATCCTTCTGGCCTCCTTTATGCCAATGTATGTGAAGATTATCTTATAGTTACTGATATAATTCAGGGACCGAATGCTTTGATTTCAAGTCCCCCAAAAAACTATCTCAGTAAACAGATCTCTGCCTAAACTTCCAAAGTCTGAGCTCAAATAACCTCTTATTTATTAATCGGCTTCCAACAATAAGTTTGGATCCTAAAGCACTGATAGCCTCTCCCATACATTTGTTGCACAAATTTGTGAAATAAATGATTTCATTTTATTTCTACTGTATCCTTAAAGCATTCATTTTTTCAGCCAAATTTTGACTACATTTAGCATGCCAGAAATTGTGCTGTTTAAACTGTAAATTCTTCAGGGGAAGAAGTGGGTCTCTCATGTGGATTTCTGAAAGTGCAGCACAGGTCTATGCACACTGGAGGTCACCTCATAGTTCTACATAATTATTGTGTCTTTTTTTGTGTGTGTGATTTTTTTTTATTTTATTATTCATATGTGCATACAAGGCTTGGGTCACTTCTCCCCCCTGCCCCCACCCCCTCCCTTACTACCCACTCCGCCCCCTCCCTCTCCCCTCCACCCCCTCAATACCCAGCAGAAACTATTTTGCCCTTATTTCTAATTTTGTTGTAGAGAGAGTATAAGCAATACTAGGAAGGAACAAGGTTATCCTTATCTCTGGTTGAGATAAGGATAGCTATACAGGGCATTGACTCACATTGATTTCCTGTGCATGGGTGTTACCTTCTAGGTTAATTCTTTTTGATCTCACCTTTTCTCTAGTTCCTGTTCCCCTTTTCCTATTGGCCTCAGTATTATTGTGTCCTTGAAAAATGAATAAAATAAACTTTCAGGGGAAAGTACATTTTCCATTTGATAGTCGAGATGGCTTCTGTGTGGTCTAGTGAGTCGCTTTGCGAAGTGAAGCATTTTTTTTTTTGCAAAGTGCCCCTTTTTTTAAGCATGTGCAATTCATCATCTTTGCTTTTCTTAGCCACAGGACGTCGAACTTCCCATTGCAGCAGCCTCCCGCTGGAGGGCGCCAGCCCGCTGCACGGCATTCCGCCCACACTGCGCAGTCTCCGTTCAGGCGTGGGCGGAAATCCTCCTGTTGACACGCGTGACGTCACCAGAGGGCGCGGTCCCCGCAGCAAGGGGCGGGGTCTCCGCGAGCGCGACTTCCAGGGCCAAAGTAGGCTGGGAGTGGGGGGCGGTGGCTGCTGCTCCACAGTCTCGGGAAGATGGCGCCGCCGGTGACCGAGCGGGGCCTGAAGAGTGTCGTGTGGCAGAGTGAGTGCGGTGGGGTGGGGGGCTGAGCGAGGGGAGGCCACTCCGGGCCTTGTTTTCCTGCCCTAACCCTGCAGCCTGCTGGGGTGCAGCCTCCGACACTTGTTGCTTTGGAGCTCGCGTCTTCTTCCTGCTCGCCCGTGGAACCCCGTTTCTGGCCAGCGTCGGGGATGGGTGGGGTGCGGTACGACGGAGCCTTATAGCCGATGTCGGACACGGGTCAACCGGGCGAAGCCACCCGGGGTCGTCCTGTCCACCCCACCCCCCACCCCGCGGCTCCCGCGCGCGTCCCGAGCCCTGTCAGTCGGGGACGTCTCCCCGCCCGGGACAATCCGGGCTCTGTGCTCGAGATCCCGCCCCCTCCTCCCACACTTGAGCTTCCCGAGGCTGCTTTTTCTCCTGATTCATGTTAGTTTTAGGACTTCACCGTGTTTTTCAAAAGACTCCACTGTTGGACAGACCCCTTTTCTGCTATTCCTCGAGGAGCCTACTTGCTGCGAAGTTCTGGGGAAGGGACCGTCGGTCTCATCAGTTCTCTGACAATGTCAACTCCCTGCACAGCCCAGACCAACCTGCTGCTTTGCTTTTTGCTATACATTCTCGAGCCCCTGCCTGCTGTTAGGACCCCACTACTTGTGGGGTTACTGGTGTCCTGCCACTTTAGACCTAGGCCGGGCAGGTTAGAGAAGGGATGAAACCACCAAACAGGAAGAACCATCGTTGTTTGGCATGACTGTGTTCAAAGTGATTATTGCCCAGAGAGAAAGAGTAACACCTAATTAGTGTTTCTTACTCCAGCTTGTTGAGCAAGGAACAGAAATTTATTTGATTATCAGAATTCTAGGAGTTGTAGAGTTCCTTGTATAAAAAAGAGAATCCAAATCTGTAACTGGGATGGTGCTTAAGAAAAAGGATGGAATTGTCTTTTTAAATATTCGTTAATTTTTAAGGTTGGCATTTTGTATTTCAAGATTAACATAGTTGACTTGTAGGATCTGGGTGGATGTTTAAAATCACAGTAGCATTTTTGCATTGAAATGAAAATGGGTAGCTAATTGTGTAAATGATTTCCAAGTTACACATGGTGCTTTTCATCAGCATTTATGATAAAAAAATTAATGATAGTAATGGCCTTGATAGTGGGGAAACTAGGCAAGAGGAAGAGTGTACAAATAACACCAGGCTATTCAGGTGGAACGTAAGATAAAGACAGGCTGAATGGGTGGGAAAAGTTGTAAGGTTGTAAAATAGTTCTATGAAACTTTGTGGAAATAGAAACTACCAAAAGACAATAGCTGTTCAATATTTATTGCATAAAGCATATATAGAGAGAAGAGGGAGCCTTCGAAGTCAGTTAGCAAAAATGAATCCGAAAGAAGTGTTGAAGGAAACTCCCAAGAGGTAGGAGAATCATACATTTGGGGAAAAGATTTTGCTAGGTGAGGACTGAAAGCTAAATAACTAAGAACCTTTAACTTACCCAGAAGGTGTGGGAATAGAATGGCACTATTTCTTAAACATTTACTCTGTGCCAGGCACATACTTGGCATAGATTAACTTCATGAGAATTCATATCTCTAGTTCACATACTGAAATTGATACAGTTGTTAGTGTAGCAGCCTTATTCATTTAGCCAAAACTAGAAACTTAAACATCCCCACACTGATGAGTGGATAAAGGCAATAAAAAGAAATGAAATACTGATTCATTTTACATTACCGAGTCTGAAAAACATACTAAGCAAAAGAAGCCAGTCACAAAAGACCACATTACATGACTCCATTTATATGAAATGTCCAAAATAAGCATACAGAGACAGTGGATTAAGTGGGTGTATATCTGGAGAGATAGGGAGATTGGAGGAGTGGGGTTTCTTTTTGGAGTAATAAAGAGATTGTCGAAACAATTGTGCTAATATGGCAATGGGTGCATGGATTTGTGAATATAGTGAAAACCATTGAATTGTACACTTTAGGTGAATTATGTGGTGTGCAAATTACTTCTCGATAATGCTATTAAAATAAACTCTGACAACCTCTATTAAATCTAGACCTAGGATTTACACCCAGTTCTTTTTTTTTGGGGGGGGTAGTGGGACTTGAACTCAGGGCCTACACCTTGAGCCACTCCACCAGTCCTTTTTGGTAATGAGTTTTTTTTGAGATAGAGTCTCACAAACTGCCTGTCCTGGCTTCAAATCAGGATCCTCCTGAGTAGCTAGGATTACTGGTGTGAGCCACTAACCCCTGCCTTACATCTAGGTCTTTTTGACTGTAGAGTTGATGTTTGACCTTTGTGTGACTAACATAGTATATAAGTGTTATTTTACGCCCAATCTATTGTATTAGCCTCTTAACTAGGCCTCTAAGCTCTTCCTTTTTCTCATTCCAGTCCATCTAGCAAGTAGCTGCAGGATAATTTCCTGGAATAGTACTGCATTATAACCGTGTGGTTCTCTTGCTTAAAGAGGACCTGCAGAGACCATCTCCCATTGCCCAAAGTTCATTTCATTTTTATTTATTTATTTATTTTTTTCTTTTATTATTCACATGTGCATATAAGGCTTGGGTCATTTCTCCCCCCTGCCCCCACCCCCTCCCTTACCACCCCTCGCCCCCTCCCTCTCCCCCCCACCCCCTCAATACCCAGCAGAAACTATTTTGCCCTTATTTCTAATTTTGTTGTAGAGAGAGTATAAGCAATAATAGGAAGGAACAAGGGTTTTTGCTGGTTGAGATAAGGATAGCTATACAGGGCATTGACTCACATTGATTTCCTGTGCGTGGGTGTTACCTTCTAGGTTAATTCTTTTTGAGCTAACCTTTTCTCTAGTTCCTGGTCCCTTTCCTATTGGCCTCAGTTGCTTTTAAGGTATCTGCTTTAGTTTCTCTGCGTTAAGGGCAACAAATGCTAGCTAATTTTTTAGGTGTCTTACCTATCCTCACCCCTCCCTTGTGTGCTCTCGCTTTTATCATGTGCTCAAAGTCCAATCCCCTTGTTGTGTTTGCCCTTGATCTAATGTCCACATATGAGGGAGAACATACGATTTTTGGTCTTTTGGGCCAGGCTAACCTCACTCAGAATGATGTTCTCCAATTCCATCCATTTACCAGCGAATGATAACATTTCGTTCTTCTTCATGGCTGCATAAAATTCCATTGTGTATAGATACCACATTTTCTTAATCCATTCATCAGTGCTGGGGCATCTTGGCTGTTTCCATAACTTGGCTATTGTGAATAATGCCGCAATAAACATGGGTGTGCAGGTGCCTCTGGAGTAACCTGTGTCACAGTCTTTTGGGTATATCCCCAAGAGTGGTATTGCTGGATCAAATGGTAGATCGATGTCTAGTTTTTTAAGTAGCCTCCAAATTTTTTTCCAGAGTGGTTGTACTAGTTTACATTCCCACCAACAGTGTAAGAGGGTTCCTTTTTCCCCCACATCCTCGCCAACACCTGTTGTTGGTGGTGTTGCTGATGATGGCTATTCTAACAGGGGTGGGACCAGTGGAACAGAATAGAGGACCCAGATATGAAGCCACACAACTATAACCAACTTGTCTTTGACAAAGGAGCTAAAAATATACGATGGAGAAATAGCAGCCTCTTCAACAAAAACTGCTGGGAAAACTGGTTAGCAGTCTGCAAAAAACTGAAACTAGATCCATGTATATCACCCTATACCAAGATTAACTCAAAATGGATCAAGGATCTTAATATCAGACCACAAACTCTAAAGTTGATACAGGAAAGAGTAGGAAATACTCTGGAGTTAGTAGGTATAGGTAAGAACTTTCTCAAGGAAACCCCAGCAGCACAGCAACTAAGAGGTAGCGTAGATAAATGGGACCTCATAAAGCTAAAAAGCTTCTGTTCATCAAAAGAAATGGTCTCTAAACTGAAGAGAACACCCACAGAGTGGGAGAAAATATTTGCCAGCTATACATCAGACAAAGGACGATAACCAGAATATATAGGGAACTTAAAAAACTAAATTCTCCCAAAACTAATGAACCAATAAAGAAATGGGCAAGTGAACTAAACAGAAATTTCTCAAAAGAAGAAATTCAAATGGCCAAAGTTCATTTCAAACAGTCTCCTTTTGAAGTTTTAAAACCTGCCCCCAGTCTACCTTGTTATTTTTAATTACTTCCATTTGGATAATCTTTGATTTCTCCCCCCCAAAAGTTCTGTACTGTTTACTCTTCTTGAAATCTTTTACCTCCATATCTTATCTTTCTTTTTTTTTTCCCACACAGCTAGTAAGTGATCCATATCTTATCTTGATGGCCCATTCATCTGACTTGAATACTTCCTTTTCCCTAACTTTTTACCTATCCGAATTTTAGCCCGCCAGCAAGTCTCAGCTCACATGGGCTACTACTTCCATAGCGGCTTCTCATTTTTCCCCACCTCTTATGTTTCCATAGCATTTAGTTTACTCTTGGTGGCACTTCCTTCTGGTTGGAGTGTCTTGATAAGCTTCTTGAAGGCAGATTGACTCTTGTGTTTGGTAGGGCTTTAAATCCTAATAAGCCCTAGTGAATATGATGGGTAACAATGCTTTTTAAAAATAAAATGACTCCGTTTTATAATTTTCCCTATTTTTTGCCACATAAGGTACCCCATTTATTCAGTAAGTATGGTTGAATTCCTGTAGGAATACAACAGCCCTCTTCAAGCTTGCATTGAAGAGGGGAATAATAGAAAATAAACAAGTATACTAAGAATAAACATGATTATTTTGATTTATGAAATAAATTTTTATAAATAAAGTTTTATTGTGGAAGAGAGGAAAAAGGAATTATTTCCTGTCTGGGAGTGGGTCAGGTTGAACTCAGAAGAAGGGGTAGCATTTAAGATCCTTCTTGAAAAATGCTAGTGTTTTAACCAGGCAAGGGGAAGTCTGGACCACACCCTGAAAGTGACAAAATGTGTGGTTGCTTATAGAAGGGGGAATAACAACAAAAAGAATGAACACTTTTTTTGGAATGAGTGCAG